CACAGCACTAAGAAGCTCAATTCCTCATGAGTTCGATCCCCGCCTGCCCCAGAGGAGATCCACATGGCGCGGCAGAACCCTCCTGACCCGCCCGCTGCTCCCCTCAGCAGTGTACTTGGTCAATCGGCCTGCTCCCCACTCTGTCTCTGGTGAATCCTCTCACCCTCTGCATCTCTGGCCTGTACCCCAGTGCGTGTGAATAAATAAATAAATCTTAATATATATATATATATATATTGCATCAAGGCAGTCTTTCCTTTATTTAGTGAGCCAGGAATTATCTGGCCTTAATTGCCAGGTGCAAAGCAACTCGTTTGGGAAAAGAAACTATTTGATCAGCTTTCCTCATTCCTCCTCGTGTATCCCAAGTGTGCTCCGTGAGTGTGCAATTGCTCTATACATGTTCCATTGTTTTTAGCGCTGCCTTTCACTGTTGCCTTTTATTATTCACATTTCTGACTTCTCCATCTTTCCAGTTTTATGAGCACACCAGCTCTTCTTTCCCAGTTCTGGCAATAACCTTCTTCAGTCTACTTTTACTGACATCACTTTTGTCTTCCAAATATGTTTTTGGAAGTCTTGCATTTGTTCCCTTTCATGTCCTTGGTATTGTGATTTTATTTTTACTTTTAAAATGATCTTGAAGGAGGAAATATACAAACATGTTTAATCTATCATCTCGAGTTGTAAATTTCCAAAAGGTACTAAATATTAAGAGTGAGGAGCCATTCTTTGAATAATAGGCAGAGATTAAGGGATAAATGAATCACCTATAAGTAAAATATCACAGAAGGAACTCCCGCCTTGGTTTTCATTTTTTTGCAGGGGAGATGTAATGGGAGAAGGTGTAGCAGTTCGTAGGTATGTGTTAATGTCACTTAAAAAAAAAAAGATTTATTTTATTTATTTATGCATACAAGAACTGGGGTGGCAAGATCTCACCATAGACAGAGGGGAGAGTAGAACAGGTGGATTGCCTGAAACACACTGCTGAGAGGAGCAGCGGGGAGACAGGAGAGGTCTTCTGCATCATGTGAGTCACTCTCTGGCTGAGGTAGAACTCTTTCTGCTGTGGCTGTGATAGCTTGATAGCACTGAGATTCAGCCCCTGTGTTACCAGGGAGGTCCAAATGCCACCTTTTTAAATCCCAGCAGGTTTGTTTATTAGCATATGCTTCTCTAGTAGTAACAATACTGTGTGTAATTTGGTGATGTGAAGGCTAAAAAGCTCAAAAAGATACCACTAGTGACAAGTAATAGTACAAGCTACATCACTGCCATTGCTCAGTGGTGTCATTTAAAGTCTGATATCTTCCTTCAGTCTAGGTAACGAAAGTAACATTAACAACCACCTTGCAGTGAGCACTTTGTATAAAACACTGTTCTCAATATTTTCCTCAAGTCCCCCAAAGCATTTGTATACAGTAGGTGTTAGTATCTTCCTTCCCATTTTATAGAAGACAAAACTCAGGTACAGAGAAGATAATTACCTAACAGCACACAGCTAGTGACAGAGCCAGTCTGTGCTCAAAAAGCTACTCACTAAGTTGCAAAGTTCCTCTAAGACATTGTGTGTGTGTGAAATATATGTGCTACACAGCATCTCAAAACGCTTTTAGACAAGGGTAAGTGGTAAACTGTCTCTCCAGGTGAAAAAAACAAACCCTGATTTGCAGTGTTTGCTGACATGTATTGTGTAAATACTTCCACCTTGGCTGACTTCAAGGCTTTAACGATTTAACAATTGGCACTGCTGGCAAAAGAGGATTCTAATACAACACTACTTTAGCCTCATTAGAACTAAATTGAGTGAGCTTGGATTGTCTGAAAATACTTTTCTGAACGCCTTAGTTTGATTTTCAATTGGCTTTAATTACAATGAACAGAACAAGAAAGGAAGACAGATGATGTTGGTTTTATTTAGGAATGGAAATAAAGTATTTTGACATTTATGGTGCTTAAGGATTTTGCACAAGTTTGTGAGAAATAGATTGCTAGCAATTGGAAGGGAGTTTGTTTTCTACATCTACGCTAATATCTGATTTTCTCATAAATATTTTGTCACCATCTACGTTCTAGGAACCAATTTCAATTAAATAAAATAAGCACCGATACTGAATGCACAGCATAGAAAGACCACAAGTTTAAATGAGCCCACCAATTCTTTGGTTGCTGTCCATGCATGCATTAGAATTATAAATACTTTTTAGCCCTTTAATTCAGAAGCAAATAGGTTGATCATAGCAACTTTAAATCCATGATATGCATTTCAAAGGTGACAACTGATTGATCCTTCTTCCGCTGGCATACTTTATCCAAGTACTGAAATAGGGCCCTGTTTTACTGATTGGCCTTGGGTTGTGAGAAATTATCCACCATATGGGACCTGTGAGCCACAATTTGTGCTTGTTTGCAGACCTCATTATCTTATCTTTTTTGACTTCATGCACTTATTCTGAGTAAGACATAATAGGAAAACAAACATAAAATTTAAAAATGCCCTTTTAGGGCCCTCCCTGGTGGCGCAGCGGGTTAAAGCCCAGCACTGAGAAGCTAAAGCCACTTCCGCATGAGTTCGATTCCCGCCTGTCCCGGAGGTGACCACATGGTGCGGCAGACCTCTCCTGACCCGCCCACTGCTCCCCTCAGCAGTGTACTTCATTGATCTGCCTGTTCTGCTCCCCACTCTGTCTCTGGCGAATCCTCTTGCCGCCCCTGAGCCTCTGGCCTGTACCCCAGCTCTGTATGCACAAATAAATCTTTTTTTTTTTTTTTAAAGTGCCCTTTTAGAAGCTTTTTAAAAGATGTAGGAATCGTTTTTTTTTTTAAAGACCAGTAAGATGACATCAATTGGTCTTAATTTATCTTCATAATTAGCATCCAATTAAGATATCTATTTACGTCACAAGCTTTAACACAAAGGATTTAATTAAACCATTAAGATATTAAACAAGTTCAATTATGTTCTTAGCTTCAATCACCATCTGATGGAGTGACAATTTAAAAAGAAGTTAAACAATTAAAAATTAGGGGCTTTAAAGGCATATTTTAGTCTGTGTGTAATATTGCAATTAAAAATACATCAGGCCTTTGATTTGACTTCTGAAACCAAAACAATCACTTAAGTGAGTGCTGGCATTGGAAATAGACTGTTTGTTATTTGATGAGTCTGTGTGTACTTGTATCATACATGTGCATTTGTAACCACTTAGCTCAGAATAGTTGGAGCCAGGGGAAGAGAACCAAGAGGTGCCTGACATATCTATCCACTCTTTGTATGCCGTAGTAGTGCTAACTGTTAACATTTGAATTCCTGACTGGCTCGTTTATTCAAAGGAATGAGGTTCGTATTTTTTGTTTTAGATAGGATTCCTGGATAAGACAGAGGGTCTTTTGGAAATCTTATTACGCTGGACTCGACTTTCGTGTGTGCACGATCTCAGAGGCTTGTCCTCAGCTTTTGTTAAACCCTTCTCCAGGCTTGGTGCTTGTAACGCTGCAGTCTTTCTTCGTGTCTCCAAATTATCTGCAGGCCTGCCAGGCTTCACCCCAAACAGGCAAGGGGTGGCGAGTAATAATAACACACATTAGAGGGGTTCCTAGGTTCCTACTAAAGACTGTTGAGTCAAAAGCTGGAGAGTCAAAGCTGGTGGCCTCCAGAGGCTGACAGCCACGCTGCCGCAGCTTCAGGGCCTGGCCAAGACAAGTCACCCCTTTTCGGGGACAGAGGCTCTGACACCAGCGCACAGCGAGCAGACGAGCTTTGCAGCCAGGTGCTCGCAAGGCCATGCACGGGTGCCGAGCGCAGGGCTCCGGTGGGCATTCCACAGTGAGTTGGGTCCCAGTTAAAGCACCCACATTTTTTGTCAGGGACAACGATTTGCATCAAGGGGAAACACTGTCGTTACCATACTGGGCAGCACAGCAAAGAGCCCCTTGGGAAGGAGGCACTGCCTCAGTGCACACGGGCTTTTGGTACAGAAACTTCCTTGAAAAGATAATACAGAACAAAAGCCGCCACCAGGCACGTCTTTGGGACTGCAGCTACTAGGGGGGAAACAGCTAACTCAGGACACCAATTATTACCTTGCTCAGTGGCTTCTGGTCGAATAAAGTGAGATAATGCGCGCGGAGAAGCGCTCATTACCGTTAAGCACGCTGTCAGTTTCAGGACAAACAAGCACATAGTCAGCTGTCAGACCTCTGATACTCGACCTTCTCTCCATTTAAAAAAAAAAAAGACGCTTTTTCTCTTTAATAAATTTCATCTTCTAGAGTAGTTTTAAGTTCCCAGTATACTGAGCAGAACGGTCCTGAATCCCCAAAGCCTTCGCACAGGCGTGGCTGCTGCCCCGGCTCTCAAATTCAGGAACAAGACCACGCAGGACAGCAAGCTGATGGCTAACTGCAGTCATCAGCCTCTGCACAGGACAGCAGTAAAGGCCTGGTCTAGATCGAGTTCCCCAATCATTTCTGGAAGAAATTACTGGTATGAAAAATTATTAGCAATAACATGTTTTTGGGGTAGAGAACCTTCATAGGCTGAGTACCGTGAGCGGATAAAACAAAACAGAAAATCAAGTTAACTGCTCAATGCAACACAGAGCACCTTTGTGAGCAGCATCTGCCTCTCAGCCCCAGGAAGCAACATCTACCCCGGTAACCAGCGGTGAGAGAGGTGGGGCTATACCGCTGAGCTTCAACCAGCTCAGATGGGATTGTGACTCATTACTTTTGGCTCTGAGTCCAAAAAACCTGGCGATTCTATTGTAATTACCCGATACAGATTGTTTCTTTTGGCTTTCCTATATCACTATGAAAGTAAATCCCCAAAGTAGCAATTTCTTGAAACGTGGGACAGACATCTACTATCACTTACCATTTAAACATATGCAAAACACACACACACACACACACACACACACACACACACACACACACCCATCATCCTCGGGGCTACACGGAGCTTAAAGAAAAACAGGCACCAAAGAAATTTCAGATATAGAAAACGAAAGTGCTACTTCAGCATCCATTTATTTTTGTGCTGATTTTACACAAAGGAGGCACACTGCATGACAATAGTGGGTAACCTTTCCAGTGTTTGTTTCTTTCTTCTTTAAATATAGATGCTGACAGAAAAGATGGATTAGATGCAGTCTACTTTTTCCTCAGTTGGCTGATTTTTTAGTGAATTATAAACCATGAAACTAAACTGAGTAAATGTTGGAAGTTTATTGCAAGCAGCACCTAGGGCAGAGAAAAGAGAAAGCGTCTTGCTCAAACCCAGAATGCATGTATCTGTGACCAGCCCAGGCCGGCCTACTCGCCTGGCTCCTGGCTCCCTGACGGCCATCTCCGCTACCGGACGGACACTAGTGCTGTCTTCCTTCACGGCCATCAGTGGACGTGTTGTGGGAAGGCATCTCTTCGCACATTAAATGTGGGCTGGTTTTCATCCTGTGCACATGCTGTCATGGCTATTGTTTCTATTTACTGTTTTCTTCCTAGACACAAGCTAAAAGCTTTCGTCCACTGCTAAGACATTGCCATCACGCATTCATTATTTTCCCAGGCTTCCTGTTCTTTTCTTTCACGGAAAGTGAGTTATTTGTCAGGGCTCTCCTCCTTATCAAGTTTATCTGACTGACCTGGCTCCCCACTGTTCACCCCAACTATAAAAGCAGTGGCTTCTCCCCTACTCATATGCCTAAACAGTCGCCTTCCTGGTCATTACCAGGAAAAAAAAATGAACTAGTCGATTTTAAATTCATCTACAATTAAATAATTATCACTTTTACACCTTGTTGAGTCCAACTATGATTCTTCTAAGGTTTATTTATTAGGGAGGAATCAATGAGCCTCACTTTTTTACACATAAAGACTTTCCCCCCATAATTTATATTGACTTTTGTATTTAAGTACTTAAAAAAGAATAAGGAATTCCTCACAAGTTTTTCAAACACAGAACTGTGGGAAGTAAAAGATCAAAGAACAATATTAAGCAGTCTAACCTAAAAAGTGGTATTGATTAGAGAGCTGTATATCCTCCCCATCTGAAAATCCACTAATGAGAAAAAGTAGTGGTTGATCTTGAAATGCTTTGAAACTGTAATAGGCTCATGGAGAAAGGAAATGAAGCAAAGGATATGCTTCAAACACAGAGCAAAAATAATTCTGCTAACTTCTTTGGTTTACTAATGGGGAATGCATTTGTACCTGGGAGCCCCAAGAAGACTAAATGGCTGCGACACTTACATGATGAATGGAAAATAAACAGGGATGAAAAGTTAGCCTCTGTACCTCTAATTAATAAAAACATTTGATAGTTTAGCATTTCAGCATGTACTGGAGGTTGAAACTATACTGTACACACACTTCAAAGATAAGTCCTGGCCAAAGGTTAGGTCCCAACTGCTAGCAGCCAACCAACAGAGGGTTCTGAGTATATTTCGAACACCAGCGGTTCTGACAGATCAATGAGCATTTGCTCTGTGCCTGTTCCATAGGGTCCCTGCTTCTATTGCATCAGAATAAAATACACAATATTTCAAAGTGCATCTATTTTTAGCAACATGGAGGCTTCACACCAATGCAAATTCCCAAGAAATTTGCAAAGAAAACTCACCATAACTCCCAGTCACATTGGCACATATGACGGCCCCGAAAAACTTTGGAAAATACTTCTGAATTCTTGAAATCACTTTTTGGCAGGCCGTGGTTGGATCTTGTCCACCTCTCATATATTCTACAGCTTGGTAGCTGGTTTAAACAAGGTGAAACTTTAGTATCACAGAACCAACCCCAAATTTAGTTGCTTGCAGTTAGACGTCTGTCACACCCATCACACTTGATAGAAAACACATGTGAGCAGGAGCATAACTCCCATGACCGCACCAACACCCAAGCAAATGACCCTTGGGCGGAAGCCTACTTTTCACCCAGCCTGCCCCTTAATTTCAGGTGAGGGCTATTATTTTTGGCTTTGGCTGAGAGACTGTTACTTTATCCTCACAGCCAGAAGTCACACAGGATAGAGGTTCTGTTTGACCTAGAAATGCGAGGACAAGCGATGGGAGAAACACACCGGGCCAGAGTGACACTGCTGTTGTCACGACTTTCCGGAACTAATCCCACCCAGCGACCGCACTTCCTGCTCTCATCATCAGTCACCCCTGTTCTTCACTGGGTGGCCTCACGTCAATTATTTCAATAGAGCAGAGTGAGAAATATGATTCCATTTCAGAGAGGATGATGACTTAATCTGAGTGATCCTCGACCTCAGCATAGGAGGTGAAGAGCTTGGACGCAGGTTTCAAGCACTATTTTCTGGCCTGACAGGGACAGTGGCCTCTCAGGAGCGCTGAGAGTCGGGCTGGAGGAAGCCTCACCTGGGCAGAAAGCGCAGCAGGATGTCCCCGTCGCCCGTGGCCGCTGCTGCCCCAGCAGCGTCGTCAGCGTAGGCGCCGGCCCCCGGGATCGGGGAATCGCCCACTCGGCTGCAGAGGGGAGAAGAGCGTCACTCCAGGCCGAGGCTCAAGAGAAGCTAAGTTGTTTCATGTGTTCAACAACAGGGGTACTGCCGATGCCGGCTGTGGCTGTAAACAGTCTTCATTCCAGACCCGCAAAAAATTCACCGATTTTTCACCTTTGGTTTTCCAAACCTACTTCAGTGATTTAAGAATTGGCGCCCTCAGGCTGTCTCCACAGGCACTGATTTCCGGAGACTAACTCCATCAGGCCCACCCTCTATTCGAAGTCCTTGTGGGTCATCCCAACAGGGTCAAAATTGGTTTTCTTCACCTCAATTGATTCCTGCTTTTAGCTCATGTGCCAACATTTGACAATGCTTTTTCCTTGCAGTTTTTCTACTATTTTGGCAGAAAAATCCAGAAATCTTAAACTGACTTAAGACCACTAGAACCCTGTCTCCATTCCTGGCGCCTCCACCACTATGTGCAAAGCAATGTGTTTTTAAGCCAGGGACGTCCTGGCGCAGACCTGGCGCCGACCTGGCCTGGCCCCAGCCCAACCAGACCCCAGGCTGCATGGTTCCCTTTCCATGCAGTCTATGCGAGCACAGCTCCTAGCACCTCTTCTCTGGCTCTCCTACCTGCGACCTCACCCATGGCTCCCCTGAGGTGTGCAGCACTGCTTGCTGGTACTTAGCTGCTAGGAGTTTCCCCCACATTCCTGTCTCCTGTTTGGGGGCGTTGACTGAGGTTCCCACTTTGTGGAGTCCATTACCCTCGGCACAGGCTTGTTGACACTCAATACATACTGCAAGACGCCTTCTTTTAGAAACACTAACCCGGGTATTTTGAATTTTATACCATTTGTAGATGTACCAGCGGCCGTATGTCCCATCTGATGGATGACAACCATCCCTGGAAGTTAAAAAAAAAAAAACAGAACTGTCGGTATCAATTCTAAAGCTGACCTCACATAGAGTTACATAACTGAGCAGTTGTGACATAAATACCCCTTAGAGTAACTTCTAGTAGAAGAAAGTAGGAAACTTGGGGCTACTGAAAATCAAACCAGTGGCAGGACAGGCTTCTAAATGGACAAGTTTGTCTGGTCCACAGATGTCCTCACTCTTGAATTTGCTCAGTTACTCCACAGTGTCTTTTCAAAGGTAAGCCCGAAGGAAATCTCTGATACAGTTTAATGGAAATTTTTAAGGTTATAGCTGAGAAGGATGAATATGGCCAACAACATAACATAATTAAGGAACTAAAATCAAAGATTTCAAATCTCCAGGAGAAGCATCGCTACATTGTAGGGGCCTTGTATAAGGTAGTTTGCAAACTGTATGTATGCTGAGAAAGCATGTGTACATGTAGACAAGACACACATCGATAGAGAACAGAGTATTACTTGCTCGTTAAAACAATCAAAATCACCTTTGGGCACATGAATCTGGATGAAGAAGTTGAGAACAAGAGGAAGGCAATTAAA